GACGAGCACCTTGCAGAGTCCTGAGCCATCGGCATAAGGGCAAGGGGCAGGCGGTGTCTTCTCCATTGCCCTGCACGAGGCACAGGTGGGCGGCCAGCAGGCTGACCCAAGATAGTGAGGAAGACCCCAGTGCCAGAGCTGCCGGACCTCAAACTGTCACAGAACTTCTGGCTCAAGGGCAGGGGCAGCTCTAATGGCAAATACAATATTCTTTGCCTTCAGGCAGCCACAACTGGCAAGGACAGGCAGAGCCCTCTGACTCACAAGATCTGCCGCTCTCTCAGACAGCCTCACTGGGGGTCAGTGCCTGGTTTAGTTCATGGCAGAGACAGGCAGGATAGCCAGCCCCAGAGCTCCAGGCTGGCAGCACTGCCTTCCTGATGAAGAGTAGTCAGGGGAATTGCAGAGTATGTTGCTGCTGTCCCAGAGGGTAGGTGGGATGGGTGCATCCTCTGTCACATGGGAAGCCCCAGGAGGCTGGGTGCAGCTGCTCAGAGCCTGCAGCTCTGGTCCCCTTCACCCCTTTGCAGGTGATGATTTTGGAGCAGATGGGTTAGGCAGTTTGGCCATCTGCTCCTGGCACAGCTGCGAGCCAATGACCAGCTATGCCTGTCTTCTGTCATGCATCCTGCAAGGTGTGGGGCATGGGGGCACAGAGTTCCCAGCACTGCATGGCTCTGGGGTCAAGCACTGTCGATAGCGACCCTTACCCTTGCACCACAACCACTTAGCACTGTCCTTGATCAGGAGGTGCCTAGCCCGGCTCTGGCTCTGTGGGACCTGCACAGTGGGAAGCTCAGCCCTCCTGGGACAGGGCTGAATCCCTGAAGCAGGAATACAGTTTTAATTTGGAGGGGAGCAGGTGTGGAGGAACTCTTTGGTCACCGGGGGCTGGTGAGTGTGTACAGGGGGAGAGCTGTCCAGTGTTAGCTGCTGCCAAGAGCTCACCCACTTCTCTCTTCCTCTCCTGTAGCCCCTGCTCACTTGGCTGACAGCATCCACAAGAAGAAGCACACGCGCCCGACCTTCACGGGACACCAGATCTTTGCTCTCGAGAAGACTTTTGAGCAGACCAAGTACCTGGCGGGTCCGGAAAGAGCACGGCTGGCCTATTCTCTTGGCATGACTGAGTCTCAGGTGAAGGTGAGTATTGGTCCCTGTGTGGCACAGGGTGCGCAGCGTTTTGGCTGCTAACTGAGCTGGGCCCATGGGGCAACAGGTCTGGTTCCAGAACCGACGGACCAAATGGAGGAAGAAGAGTGCCCTGGAGCCCTCCTCATCCTCGCACCGGGCGGGGGGCTCTGGCGGAGAGCGGGCGGCCTCTGAGACCGAGGATGATGAGTACAACAAGCCTCTGGACCCAGACTCAGATGATGAGAAGATCCGGCTGCTGCTGAGGAAGCACCGTGCGGCCTTCTCGATGCTGGGCTTGGGCACGCACAGTGGCTGAGCACAGCCTGCCCCTCTGGGCCAGGAGATGACTGGCCTAGTCACCTGCATCCTGCCAGGGGGTGACTCCCATCACCAGCAGGTGCCTGGCTGTTGGGATGGGGTGGCTGACAGCTGGATGGGGAGCATGGCTTGCAGGGCTGGGAGCAGCACACATGGTAGTGTCAGGTGCAGCCGTGTTATCGGCATTGATGAAATAAAGGTCCCAGTCAAGTCCCGGCACTTGTTTCATGGGCATGTGGTCAAGGGTGGCCTTGTGAGGCTGGGCCAGAGAAGGGGTGGGTTTAGGATGTACGGGGCAGGGTCTGCATGCCAGGCAGGGGAAGGGTCCATGGTGTGGAGCAGGAAGTTCCCACAAAAGCAGGGGCACCCTGGAGATTTTCCCAGAGTTTTCTCTGATTTGGGCGTGTACCAGCAGCAAGAGCTGCTGGTTCAAAAGTCGCCCATTGGGGCCTCTTATTGGAAGCTCTTAGCAGCAAATAAATACCATTTATCTTAACAGTGTGAGTGAGAGCCCATTCACCTGTCAGGGCTGCAGGATTGATGTGGCATCAATAGCCCCAGTGTGTTTGCCTGCCAACCTGAGCAGGTCCCCCCTGCTCTTTGCTGCACCCCTGTGCAATGGGGGCTGCACACACAGATGTGTGTGTGTGCACATGGGTGTGCACACCCCCTGTTCTGGCTCCTCATGGCTCACCAGTGGCATGCCAGTTGTGGGTGCTGCGCAGGGCCAGCTGTCCTTACCTGCTTAGGATGCCACAGACGCTCCAGCTGGCACAGGCACAGTGCTGAAGGCCAGGCAAGCTTGGCAGCTGTTCAGCCAAGAGCCAACTAAGTGCCAGCTAGGTGTGAGCAAACATGTGGGCTGTGTCTTGGAAGGAAATCGATAGCAGATAAGGTGCTGCTGGCCTGTCAGGCACTGATTAGCAGCATGGCACAGGCACGGAAGGGGTAGGAATGGGGCTGGTGGAGGGATGCCTTTCCCTACACTTGCAGGCAGTACCTGCAATGGGCTGGTGGCTGAGTCTACACCTGGGACAGCTGAAGCTCTCATCCACTGGCACCTTTCAGTGGCCAAGAGCACTAGCCTTGTGTGGGGCTGCAGATCATCACTGTACAACTTGCCACGGCCCACACTTGGCTTAAAGCCCTCTCCAGTCTCTCACTGGGCTGTGGGCACTTTGCAAAGAGACCCGACTACTCTATGCCACATTTCCAGAGCTTAGGGGACTACTGTCCCCACATAGGTCCCTTTCCAGCCCCTGCAGTGAGCATGAGCCTTGTAATACTCTCTCCTCAGCCATGCAACCCTTCCACTGCCTCCATGGGACGGATGCTGGGCCAGGACAGAGTTAATGGACCCTTTGCAAGGATGTGGGATGGCAGATCCCATGGGAGCAGGGTGCTCAGGGCTGGTGGCAGGGCTGGAGGAGACACATCACTGTCTGTGGACAGAGCCAGTGCTCAGCAGGAGCAGGTTCCACATGGTGGGAGAAGTGAGGGGCTGCTGGTGGGATATTTTTTTAACATTTTCTAAGCTGCCCAGCTTGGCTGACAATTTTTAATGTACTAACTGCCTGGTCCAGTGAGCTGATTAATTGGTGCTGTGGAGATCAATACAAAACAGAAAATTAAAACAATTTTAAAGTGATTAAGTAGTTTAACACCTGTCTGATGCCACGTCAGGGCTGGGAGACAAATAAAGCAGGTGGCAAAGGGCCTGCTGTAGCCAGGGATAGTGACAAATGGCTGCTGCAGCCTGGCTGCCCCATGCATCCCCACATTGAGACAGGGCCCCAAACAGTGCTGATCCATGCAGGGCCCCAGCCCCGCAGCCAGGACTGACCCCCTCTCCTGCCGATGCTGCCCACTGTAGCTCCCACTTTCCCACCACTGCTGCATCGAAGTGGTGCCCTGTCAGTGCTGGGGGTCTCAACAGGAGTTGTCAGCAGCGAGCAGTAGCTCTGCCCACCCTGTGCCTGGTGCCAGGCAGGCTCAGGCTGTGTGGGCAGAGGCAGGAGCCAGCTGCGCCGGGGGTGTGAGCACAGGCAGGCCAGCATGGCAGGCAGATGGATAGCAGCTCTGCTTCAATTCTGCATCCCTTTTCTCCCAGACAAACCCCGTCGGATTTTCATAAATCAAAGCGCCACACTGTTTAATAAAAATTTATTGACTTACAAGTGATTATTTATCAAAAGGCCATTAATAGCAGCTCCGGGAATGATGTGCTACTGGGTGGTGCGTGGAGACTAATAGCAAATCAATGCCAGCATTCAGGCAGAATGCATATGAGGGCTCCTGGCCCCAGTGGGGTGCATGGCTGCTGCAGCCAGAGCCAGCAGCCCCTACCCCGTGGGCCGCCCAGTGCTCCCCCCCTGGTTATTTATTGCTTACAAATGAAATGATCGATACTTTTAATCTAGAGCTAAATTTATTAACTTTCTCATCGGAGAGAGACATATTGACTGGGGGCATGGAGTGGGAGAGCCAAGGAAAGATGGATGCGTGCCTCCTAACCTGTCCAGCCAGCTCCTTGCCTGCTGTGGAGTGTCCTGAACGCTGCTGGGGATGGTCCCCAAGCATAGCAGGGCAGCTGGATGTCCCGCAGAGCTGATGAGGGTTCAGCACATCACCGTGGCATCAGGGACAGGGGAGCCAGCTGCAGGCAGGAGACTTGTGGGCACCTGCAGCTGGGTCCAAGCGCCTGAGGACATGGCAGGGGGGTGGGAGAGGCCTGTGGCCTTCAGCAGTGTCTGAAGGAAATGTATGTCCCAGCCCCAGAGAGGAGAGCTCTGGGGGCACAGCCCCTGATGGTGCAGGAGTGGCTGCTGAACCAGAAGTGAAGGAGAGCCTGGAGCCCCAGGGACTGGCAGTCAGTGATGTCCATGTCTCTACCAGTTGTGTCCCCAGCTGCAGCTCTGCACAGGGGGAAGGACCATCCACAGTACCGAGCATGGCACCGCCTCAGCAGCCCATGGCTCACTGTGGCTCCCTCCAGGGCTTGCCAGACCACAGTACAGTGTAGGGGTCTTCATCCAAACGGCCCCTGAGCTTGCAGCCAGAGCAGCAAAGTTCCATCAGGGAAATAAAAAGTGCAGGAAAATTCAGATTTAAGGGCACTTACACAGCACAGCTGTCCTCACCTGGCATAGCAGATGCCCTCCCCAACCAATACTTGAGGTACAAAGGAGGCATTTAGGTAACTGCCTTCTCCAGAGTGTTAGAAAATGCAAGCAGGCTTCAGCAGGCAGCAGTGAAACAGCTCTTGCTTGTAAGAGCAGAGAACCCAGTGTAAGGGCTCAAGTTTGTAGGCATGTAAGGAAAATGGGAAAGGTCATGGGACAAATGCTCCAATGCAACTTGTTTTACTGAGTAATTTACTTGCAGAGCAGAAAGGGGCACCACCTCCAGCACTAGATTTGTTTTCTTGCAACAAGTTGATACTATCCATGTGTGTGCATGACAAGTTCAAATGCCACTGTTTCCCTCAGGAGACATTTGAAAAGGGATTTGCTGCCCTAGCCATGAAGTCTTGGGCTCTCCTACAAACCCTAGGCTCCCACTATAGCACGCACAGATTCCTCAGGAGCCCCACCTGCCACCCCAGTGACACCTGGCACCCTGCAGCCCCAGGGGACAGGAGGTTTCCAGGGACTATGATCCTTACTGCATCAGCAGCAGCAAAGAGGCTATGCACTGTAGAAGCAATAGTCTGGGTCAAGCTGACAGGAAGATGGCAAAAAAGAAAGATTTGTTCTAGAAGTGGATCTGGAAGTGACAACCTTGGTTGTCAAAGCAGGCAGTTTCAGCACAGCTCACCGTCTTTTGTGCTGCTTTTGTGACTGACACATATGCACATCACACCTGTCCTTCCCTGGGGCTGGACACACCAGTTGGAAGCGCATGACACCATAAGAGTTTCATTTAATACTGCCCCTGCAAGGAGCTTCACTGTAACAGTAACAAGAAGGCATCTTTGCCAAAGCTGCCAAAGGCCTAAAGACTCCAGGCAGCAATAGTGCCTCTGGGAAAAAACAGCCAGAGGATGAAAGAGCGAGTCCTAGCAGCTCTGGAGTAGCCCAAGTCCAAAGATTCAGAGTTGCTCCAGACAAGTCCTGGTTGGTGCTGGAGGCAGTGGGCTTTGGCTTTGGCCAGCCCCTGTTGGTGCTGGAGGCAGCAAACTCAGGAGCGGCTCCGATCTTCATGGCTGCCTACAATCATTTTGCTGTAGAGTTTCTGTTGCTCCTCCTTGAACGCATCTTTCACCTTCTCCCTTTTCAGTCCTCCGTCCCTGGGGAAAGAGTAGTATCAGAGAGGCTGCAGGCAGGCACCATCTTCGTCTGGGACTGTTCAGGGCAAGTCAGAATTCCAGTGAGTGCTGACAGCTGCCCCTCTAGCACATGCTGCAAGGGCACACCGCAGACCACCTGTCCCCAAAGGGCACCACTTTCTTACCTGCCTCTGCCAGGAGCTGCCCCCATGGCCCCCACTGTGCTCAAAATAGCAACTCTGCCAGAAACATGAGCTACTCTAGTACCACTACAGGAGACTGACTGCTCTGAGACCTCAGTGCCTGGGAAAGCAAGTTCCCGAGCTGAACACACCTTGCTGAGTAGAGTCTAACCCAGGGCATCCCAATGAAACCTACAATCACAGAATGAAGCCCTGATACCCAACATACAGACGAAGGAAAGACTTTGGTTCTTATAGAAGAACATTCCTCCAGAGGCCTGCTCTACCCTAAGCAAGAAACAAATGGAGCTCTACAGCCCATGAGCAGATGCCAGGACCCAGAAAAAGGAACTCTGGCACCCCAAAGAGAAAAGCCTGCTTGGACTCACCAGAGCAGATCCACAAGGCCCCCCTGCCTGGCAATGGCTGACTTCACTCGATTGGCAAACTGCACTGCATCCTCTTCAGGCTGTGGCAAAATAAGACTGTTCAGCAGGAGCAAAGGGCCAACCAGGAAAGTGATCAGATAGGCGGGGTTCACCTCACCTGCCTGGTCATTGGGGGCAAGTACCAGACACTGCAGACAATGGCCCAGCTGGTCATCATTCTGAGGAGGTAGGTCACCATGCCATATTTGCTGCTGTTCCAAAAAGCGTCTCCAAACTGTGGGTCATACTACAAAAGCAGAAGAGTTCATGGAAGTCAGGCAGTGGCTCCAACTTCCACCCCAAACTAAGCTACAGGTCAGCTCTCCCAGTGCACTACATGGAGCGACCTCAGCTTTCCTGTGCTCTCAGACCAGACTGGACTGGGCTGCCAAGACAGAGATACAGAGGGACAGACAGACTTGTGCCCTAAGAACGTTGCCTTGTCATACCTTGATGGCTACAGGGTAAACTGTGGCTCCAATTTCAAAGCTCCCCTTTTTGAACATCATCACAGATGTGTTGTTGATGCATGTTCCTGTAAGAGGCAAGCACAATCTTGACTTTCCTCTGGAAGTCAGTTCAGAAGTCTAAGCTACAGGCTTAAGGGCAGGGCCACAGGAACCCAGCAACTCTCCCCTAACTCTCTCCCCTAACAGTCCAAGCCCTGTTCTCTGTGTGCACAGAATGGGTCACTGGGACATCATGTGTGACTCCTGCATTCTGGGCTTACTCAGCTCTACAGAGCTTTTGTCCCTTTTGTCTCAGTGGAGGGTCTCAAGCCCTTGGCTGTGTAAGAAGGAAAGGAACAGAGATGTGGTGCTATCTCAAGGCACCTTCTCCACCTGGTACTTCTCTGGCCTTGTTGCACTCACCTTCTGGAAAAATAAGAATGGGCAGTTTGCTTTTGTCCTGGACATGTTCTGTGAGCCTAAACAGAAGAATGTCAAAAATTAGAAGGGACGGACTCTCAGTAGCAATCCACACAGCATACAGTCCTTAGCCTGCAGTCACCAGGGAGTATCAGGCTGCCAACAACAGGGGCACAATCTCCCAGCACTTATGAGGCCATGCAGTGTCCTCATCCAAGGGAGGTGAACAGGTCCCTACCTCCCCCAACCTTCAGACCCACCCCTGCAGCCAGCGACTGTCACACCTTCTGGCGACAAGATGACGATCTTTGACCTCAGAACGTTCAAACCAGACATGGGGACAAGCTTTCACCATGGCTCTCTGTATCACACCCATGAGCCCTCCATGGATCTGACCCACCTGAACAGGGCAAGAAGACACAAGTTACAAGACCTGGACATGAAAGTCAAGTTCCCAGTTTCACAGCCAAACTGAGGTTCATCTTCCTCCCCCTACCCTAGAAAGACTAAGAGGAAAAGTCCCAGGTGCTGACTTGAAGGACACATACAGCAAACCCCAAGTGCCTTCCCCATGGCAGGAGGTCTAGCTGGGGAAGTGCTTTGCTTTTCCAGCAACAGCAAAGCCTAGAGCTCTTCTTGCAAAGCTGTGCCCACTCAAAGCTGGTACTTTGAGTTCCAGCCCGAGTTTGCACAAATGCCACGCACGACAGAATCTGACAGTGCCCTGCCATGTCATGCAGGGAAAAGTAGTTCTACGTGCTCAAAGGACTCTTGCTGCCTACTTCCTGCCATAACAAGCTTGCTGCTCCCTCCCTGCAGGTGGCCAGGCCTGGGCAGACAGAGGCAGTACCTTACCATCGCATAGTAGCCATCACTGGCCAGGACGATCACATCAATGGGGGAGGTGTGATTGGCCACACAGATGCCTCCATTCCGAGGTCTGTTTTCTCTACACGCAAAACAAAGGCAGAGGTTTTGAGAGGCAAAGGAAGCATGAGACCTGCATTATGCCCAGTGTTGAGCACCTCCTGGGCAGGGACAGACTGGAGCAGACAGGCCTTACCGGTCATGGTAGGTGATGATGGCTGTGAGGGCACGCACGCAGATCCGGTAACACATTAGGTGGACGTGTTTGCTCAGGAAATCTTTACACCTGCAGCCCAGGACAGAGACCGTCACTCCCCAGTCCTACAATATCCCCTGTAACAGTGCCACTCAGCCCAGCTGTCCCAGGCTGTGAAATCCAGTCAAGCCTTCACATCTCTGCTACAGAAACACAGCAAGTCCTGAGCTTTGCTATCAGCTTATGATCTTATGATTCTTAACTCATGAGAATAAAATTTTGGCCTTTTCTCTTTTCTGTTATTACTCCTTTAGAGGTCAGGGCTGAGTGCTCTGTCACCAGCTCAGTGCTTACATCTAGGCCCTTTGTTGAAAATTACAGGGTGTCCATTCCTGAGAGACCACAGCTGCCAGGACCACCTGCTGTGTCTGCAGGTGGTAGAACAGAAAGCTTTGCAGGGAAATTTCCTGAGTATCAGATCTCATACTACATGGAGCACTCCCCATCTGCTCCTCCCTCAAAGATGAACTCACCTTCCATTTGGCAAATATCCCACCACTGTGGTACCAGTCACCAACAAGCTGATGCCAGTAAATGCCAGGGCTATCCTGCAGAAAGAGGGAAACTACATGCTAGCAAAACCAGGCCAGCAGCACCTCCTTGGCAGGTAGGTCCCTGTACCAGCATTCACCTGAGGGGCAGAAGGAAGCAGTAGCGGATGAGCACACCAAGTCCCCAGAGCACAGTGAGGCGCAGGCTGATATACTGGAAGTTGTAGTTGGTCCTGCTGAGCAAATTCCAGGACTCCAGCTCTTCAGCTGAGAACCTCTTGGTCACTTCATCATCCATGATGGTCTCGATGCCTTTGCGGCAGAAATAGAAGATATCTGAGAGCTCAAACTCAGGGGTGTCTAGGGCTTTGCCACTGCCACTCCGGCGGATCTCCTTGATCTCCTCCTCCAGTGATGTTGGCTCCTTTGCAATGATACCTGCAACACACCATAGGCAGCTCTGGGCAAAGTGTGACTTGCCTGCTCAAAGAGAGACAAAAGCTGAGGCCCTTCCTCACCCGCCTTCCTCACAGTCCCCTTCCTTTCTCCAGTCCAGACAGGCATAAACCAGTCCCCCCCATTATCTAGAAATGAAGCACTCCTGGGTGCTTCCCTGCCCCTCTTCATGAAACAGAGCTCTCTAGAACTGCCTTCTACATGAACAGACTTCCCAGCAGACCTCAGCTGCTCAGAGACACCACATTTACCCCACCTCCCCAAAAGAATTTTGAATTCCGTGTGCCCATGCAGGACAGGATCTCACCATTGACGTAGGGCTTGTACAACAGATGGTTCTTCTCCTTGGCACCACGCTCTATTCTCAGTGTTGCCCACTGCAAGACAGACAGGACAACCAAGATTTGCAAGGCCTATAGCGCCACACTACTGCCCATTTTAGAGCTGACTTTCAGAAAGGACCATAGTTCAGGGGAGAAGATGGGGCTAAAGCAGAAGGTTTCCATACAGAACTGAAAGAGTGAGTGATGAACCCAACTGAACTGAGGTGGAGGCAGAGACTGGCCTGAGAAACAGGGAGTGCCAGAGGGAAGAAGAGTGCTCAGCAGTGAGATTGCACAGCAAGTTTTTCTGCAGTTTCTGTGACCTCTAAGCTCTGCTGCACCTTGCACGTGGTTGCCACTGTACAGTTTCTGGCTGAGCTGTGCATCCTGCTGGGGTGTCTGCACTACAGTGTAGGAAGCTGGTCAGGACCAGTGCTATTTTTCAACCCTTGTTTCTTGCAAATTCAAAGTGGAAACTGTGTTTTCAGGTTGCTGCTGAAAACAGGAGGCTGATAATGGGATGGGATCCTTTCCCCTCTGATTCAGCTAATGGCTACTGCAGCTTCTCAGCTCAGCAATGTGCCCAAAACAGCAGCAGCAAGCACCCTCAGACAGCTGTTTGCCAAATCCTGTGCGAGGACTACTTGTTCTCTCAGCTAATTTTCAAGGACACCAGCACAAACTGCACGCTGTATTTCTGTGCAGTTTTCCTGCCTGCCCTCCAAATAACCTTCACAGCCTGTAATTCATATAGGTCTGGAAGGACAAACTTCTGAAGGAGCAGGACTTAAGCACAACATGCTTATCTGTGAAGAGGGGAAGTTGCTGGGAACTCTGACATCCCAGTCTCAGCCCATAGCAGCAGCAGATCAGGAGGCAGCAATGAAGGAATGCTAATTGCATATGAAGTGTCCCACTCACCTTGCAGCTCTGCCAGGAGCTAGCACTCCAGGATTGCAGAAGATTGCCTAGATACTGCTATCTCAGAGTCAGGAGAGGAACTCTGACCTTGCAGGAACTAAACAGCCTATGGAGAAGGCACTGCTGGCAAGCCCAGCGCATCTCCATCCTGACCTACCTCCCACCTGAGAGGCAGCAGGAAGGTTCCCCCCCTCCCACCAACACAGGTGTGCCGCTGCCAGCCAGGCCTCGCAGCTTGGGCTGTGTCCCAAAAGCTTCCACACTGCCATACTCACACAGGCTGCCCTTTGGGTTCCCAACATTACCCTTGAGCGCTGGGAAAATATTTTGAGTAAGTAATAGCCCTCCAACATACAGTTCTGAATGATCAAACTTAATGAGTGAATTTTCCACCAAATCAGTGACCAGCTGTGCATGAGTGCTCCTCTATCCCACCACTAAGATTCTTTAATAAAAGCTGAAATAGACTTCTCAGTCTTTTCAGAAAAAATAGTTTCAAATGCCAATATAGGTGTTGAGAGTAAATGATCCTGAATTGAAGGAAGTGGGAAAAAAAAGAAAACATTGAGAAAAGTTCCATTTAAAACCTTTTTTTCTGCCCAATTCAGTCAGTAAATTTGTAGTCAAGTCTTCGGATTTCTATGTTAATAAAGCCCCTCACAAAGCCCAGGGTCTTCCCACTTATACCTCAGGCTTTTGGGAGGACTCAAGAGTTTAAAGAGCTGAACACTGTGAGCTCCACAGCTGTCTTCCCAACCCAGCCAGTAGAGGGATACTCTGGGGAAAGTCAGCTCTGTTCAAACAGCAGTAGCTATACCATACATCCTTTAGCAGCATGAACTCCATATTTAAGAGCTTAAAACCTCTCTAGCAAACACTTTGCTTTTTACCTGGGCTACCAGGGTAGGGTGGTATAGGCTTTACCTACTACTCTTAGTAAATAAAAAAATCTGGCCTGGAACTTGCTTCAAGAGGTGCTGGCTCAGAGACAGCCCATAAAATTAGTCCACCAAAGGCAGGCAAGGGAACAGCATGACAACAAGCTGGAAAATTCCACTTGGCCTCTCTGTGCCAAGAGGGTCGGTGAGGGCTGCTGGGTGTCGTCCAAGGTGGCAGGTCCAGACACAGCTCAGTAGGAGCTCCAGGACAGAAGTATGTTGCTCTGGCCACAGACCACTCAGGGCTTGCAGCACAAAAAAAAGATCTGCCTTATCTCCTCTGCTTTTGCTTTGTACAAATGTGTCCTGGAGAAGAGCAACCAACTGGCTGCAGCCTAGTCCCTCCCCATCACACCTGACATCAAGCTGTAGCAGCACTCTGCCTTGCCTGGGACACGAACCCCTCCAAGCTACCCCTCAGATCCTGCTGCACCCTGCCAACTGCCAAGACTTGCTTTACTTGAAGCCTTACTAGATTAATTACAGGAAAAAAGCAGCCCACAAACAGAGGTCCTGTAAACTGCATTTGGGTGAGATGAGCCAAAGAGGTCAATTTGCAACAACATGACATCCACAGCCCAACCTTCCACTCCAGTCACCCACAACGCCCTCCTGAGCAAAAGCTTCTCTTCCTATCATGACCATGATAGAGGACAAACCTCTGCAAACACTCAGAGAACATTCTGAAAACATGACTTACCTGAAAAATCTTTAATAAAGTTTTCATGTAAACCTTGCGGATGCCAAAGGAGACTCCAAAAATTGCTGGTACAATGATGAAAACCAGAAGAAGAGTGAAGAGGACAGTTATGGAAATCCCCAAAAGATTAACCACTAGGCTGTCAAAGGGGAGCAGGATGAACATGGTGAAGGGCTCAAGCAAGGCTGGTGCCCTGCAGCCAGACAGAAGGGCTGCTCGCAGCAATGAATCAGTCCTCCTGTTACTCAGCAACAATCTCACACATGCACTGAGTCTGCAGCGTGCTCAGAGACCCCATTCCAAAGTTCACATCCTTTTGGGACTAAGAAGGAATGCCACAGGATCAGCGAGAGCACTTGGGAAAACAAGCCAACAGTCCGCCAGGAGCTCAGGTGAGTTCGGACAGTGCAGGCCAAAGAGCTCAGGGCAGACGGCGCACACACGCTGGTTTGTCCACAGGCAGGTGGTGGGCACAGCAGCAACACGACTGCAGGAACGGATCTCCTCCCAGGCTGCCACTAAGCAAGTCCTGCCGTGGGGCAGCTTGTGGAGAATCTGGCAGCAGAATCCCCTCCTGGCTGCTGAGAGCATGCAGAGTCTCTTCACAGGGACAAGGTGGAGTCCATCCCTGAGCCTGCATTGGAGGAGATCGAGGGAGTTGGCACTCAAAGGAGCCTACCGTATGTGGAGCTATTATTGTTCTCCCCACGAGGACATGCGCACCAGTACGGGTCCTTGCATGACGCCTGGAACAAGTTTAATTCTGGAGGCCCCTGGCCACTCACGCTGAAGGGTCATTACAGACACGAATGAAGCTTGTGTCCCTGGAAAGCTTTCAAACAGCAAGTTGGCTTCTTGGCAGATGTGGCCACCAGCAGCAGTGGAGGAGAGCAACTGAAGTCAGCAGACTGGAGAGGTGTCAACGCAGAGAGCGTGGCAGGAGGCCAGAGACAGTGCACTCTGAAACCTGGAAGGCAGGACTTGGGCTGAGGTCACACCATTCAGAGCAGCTTCCGAGACACAGCAAGACTGAGACTGACGTTCTAGTTATTGCCTGTCACTGTCACAGACTTAAGAATCACCTCCTGCTGCCATTCATTCTGTATTTTCATACCACGCACACCTCAGATGGAGCAGACTCATCCAGAACCACACCTATGGCACAGGATGCTGCAATCAGGTCTCAAGTACAGGAAAGGAGTGACAGAAAACCCTTCCTCATGACAAAGATCTTATCACGTCTCTCATTTCAGGGGCACCCAAGAGCCCTTGAGGAAGCCAGGTACCCAATTCCTGGGTAGGCATCACTTCCTCTGCTCCTGTACATCTCATCCCCAGTGACACGGCAGGACAGATTTACAAACAGTTCAGGACAGGAAGTGAGCCTAAGGGAAGAATTACTGATGATGATTAGTCAAAGAGGAATTTGCCTGGGCACAGGGACCAGTCAAAGGTCACACACCCACAGGGCCATCTGTAGCTTGTGATAAAAAATGAGTCTGCTCAGGGGAGACTCCCCTCTGGACACCACCTTCACCAGGCTACAGAGTCTCAACCTGAGGCTGGATTTAACAGGTACCTGACAAGCACACAGGGCAAAGGAGAGTCTGTAAAGATCCTCTTGCTCCCCTGTACTCCGTGTTCCAGCTGCTGTACCAATAATCTTAAGAAGTGTTAGTGCTTCAAAGGCATATGCACAGACCGTGTCCAGGGAGAGGCAGCTGGTCAGCCACACGTGCAGCTGCCCATTATGCCACCCTGTCACCCATCAGGACCAGGACCCGTGCTGGTAAACTGGTCAGACCGGCCCCCTGGGCCGGCAGCCGCGGTAGAGAGGGGCTCAGCTGTGACTCCTGCACCGTGTCACCGGTCACACCAGAGCCCACGTGTGCCGCGCTCCTGCC